AAAGCCTTTCAAGGAGCAAGGCTGGGTGAAATTTAATGTTATCCTTAGACCGGTATTTACTTTCTTTTAGAGTTTATCGAGTCCTTATGCTAGTTAGGCAAGTGCTCCACATTCAGCATTGGTATGACGTCGTAAGGAGCAGGCATCCTGTAGACCACACCCCTATTGCTTCGTGTGTTTGATATAATCACAGCTTGGTCTTATTCTTAAACCATTTGGACTGTGGCCCCATTTGATCTCTATTGCCTAGCCTCGCTTTGCGACCCTAGCTCGGTTAAGTTTCCTGGTGTGGAAACTGAGCTCACTTAATGTCGTCCGGACACAAGCGTCGAGCTTGCTTACCTTTTGCCCCTTTTGCCTCATCACATCTTCATTCTACACTTTGCTTTTGTTGTTGATCCCTTGCAGCCCCACTGTTGTATTGGAACAATAGCCTCGTTCAATTCGTCAGCATGCCTACATCAACTTGTCTCAATAAGGAACGCACCAAGTTCGGCCAAGGTCTTGAGGTGACTTGATTTCGCAGTGTAGGCGAAAACTGGGTAGAGAGTTGATTTATCGTATCCGGCGCGGTCAGTCTAAACTTGACCTTCCACTCGTAAGAGGACGCTGATTTTGTCCGTCACACTAAAGGAACGCTGAGGCTCGTGTGAAAACTGGTCAAGTGTCCGATTTCACAAGCAGTTTGCTTGAAAAACGAAAATCGTGTGTATGTGTGTGTTTTCTGTATGTCTGTCTGTCTTTTTGTCTGCAAAATCGTCATTAAACATACATTTGGGATGCATATACATATTAAAAGCTTGGTTACATGTATCTACACCCTATTTCCTATGCACATATTTGTTTACGCCTGTATAACTATTGGCATCTTTGCTGTTCCGTAGAATGTGTCGCCTGTCCAATAGTTGATAAAGAGTCACTTTGCAAAAATAGCTCAACAAACCGGTCAACTCGAGCATGTTCACTAAACTACTTCCCTAGTACACAGATCTCTTGGCCTATATTTACGCTCAGTCTTCTCCGCCGAGGCTGTTTCTCGGCTCAGTTTCGATGGGATGATGGAGCTTTTTGTATGCTTTGATCATTAATTGTTATGAATGGAAGCCGAACCGATCAATTGCGAATGACATTTGTGTGACCAAACTTGGTATCTTGTCGCAATAGGCATTCCGGCTTACTTTGCCTTCTGATTCCCATAAGGCGAAACCTTAATGGTGAAACCTTTTGCGACCTGGCTACATACGTGAATTAAATAATCAAGTTTTTTCTCGATCTGAACTTCATAATGAGTTTTAGATGGAGTTTGGTATCGTTTCATAGTGGTCAGGAAAATAGCTTCTCATATAAGAGCTGTAATCATCCTTTTTTGTTTAAGGTGATGAAGGATTGTGATTAGGTATCATGTTACGAGGGAAGTGCACATGGCCTTGCTTTCTAAAAGGCATTCTCATTCAGGCTAGGATCTCATCAGAACGCCTAGACACGTCTCGAAATTTAACCCCTACGCCATACAGCCACTAGTGATCTTGGGTTACGGAACAGAAGTGAATGTCAAGGAAGCCTAGGTCTTTCCCATATGACACCTCTGTGGTGGGGTTGTCGACGAAGCAAGTTTGTATTTGTTATAGCACTTGACTAAATTACTTATTTTCCATTTAGAAGTAGGTTTTCTAAACTACCAGTAGCTTTTATATAAGAGGGCGAATATGTAGCTTATATCAAATCTACTGGGAGCTTGGAAGACCTACTTATAAACTTAAAATAAATATATGAAGACCAAGACGTTGTGACCTCTGTTATGGTAGCAGTCTCCTTTCGGAGAATGGCAAAGCTTACATGCCGACTACGATGCCGGCGTAACGTTTGAGAATGTATCAAGTCCACTGTCAGATGCTGGGAATCATGAAAACTACTGTGGCAGACGACTTCGGACTAGGTGCGTTCTACATAGTCGCCCTGACAACAAGACCCACTTTAAAAATAAATAGCCTTCCAGTTGCCGACTTTCTCGATTTGCTTCAGCATTTGTCACAGGACTGCACACCATCTTCGCAGAGCATTGAGACTAATATTTCGGTCTTTTAGCCTTGAAAAATATCGGTGTGTGATCGTACTACCTATCAAAGTATCGCTAGAAACTGATCAGAAACCATCTCAAACCTAGGGAATATTGTAAGGTCATTGGTTCTTAAATTGCTCTCCAAAAACCAGCTGAAACCACCGGCTCCATGTTTTCGGTCTTCGGGGCTTTGCTTACTCAGGCACTAAATTGCTGGATGTCTGCACATGATCCAATATTCGCTTTGTACCGATTAACGTTGTCACACTAATGGCAGAAGTGCAATTGTTAAATTTACTTTGATATCTTGTGAATGAGTATCATCAAGGGATCCATCTCGGCCAGCGGCTGAAACCCCTTGGATTCTGGCGAAAACATACTCTAAAAAATGTACTTATAAACAAAAAATAAGTGTTTAGTAGAGTTTCAAGACTGCCAGTAAATCAGTAATATGAGATGTATTCACCCAATTTCATTTAAGGTGATGAAGGACTGATAGAATAATTTTCCCACAATAATATGACTAGAGCTGACGTTTCCATTGAATTTCACATAGCCTTGCTTTCCCAAAAGTTCTTCTCATCAATGCACCAGTGGACTGCAGTTTCGACTTCGCATAAGTCTTATCAGTACCCCTACCGGCAGTCGAACCGTGACAGTGCAGCATGTGAGCTTGACATGTTACCAACTCGGCCACATTGACATGGTTCGTCCCCCTGGGGC